TTTCTTTCTTTCTTTCTTTCTTTCTTCTTTCTTTCTTTTTTTCTCTGTCTGTTTTGCCTGCGTGCATGTAAGTGCATTACGGGCATGCAGTGCCCACAGAGATGAGAAGAGGTCATCAGATTCCCTGAAACTGGAGTTATGGACAGTTGTTAGCTGCCATGTGGGTGCTGGGATTTGAACCCGGGTCTTCTGCAAGAACAGGCAGTGTTCTTAACCGCTGAGCCATCTCTCCAGCCCCGTGTTTACCTGTTCAAGCATCTCTAAGTTCTCTGCAGTGAGACTTGCCCAGAATATATTAGTACTAGTCTTTTTAAACTCTTGTAAGTCTAACTTTTCAGCTCAATCTTCTCTAAACTGGAATGAGTAATAAATGTTTGTTCCCTAAAATGTTTGAACTATGTTCACCTATTCTGAAAGACACACTGATCAGAAGCATCTGTTAATAAATGTGAGGTTCACTAAAAGAATACTTTTGCCACTGTATATATACAGGAAAATAACAAACTGCTCTAGCAGACATTAACCACTGAAATGGAGTGGGGTCAGAGCTTTTTAAAGTTTTCTTAAGATTAGAGATTCATGATTCATAACTCTGGGAGATTTTGCCTTTCAGGAGACACTTGGAAAAAAAAAAAAAAAACAAAAAAAAACGCCAGAGACAGTTTACGTTGTTATCTCTAGGAATGGGTACTGCTGGAATCCAGGGAGATGGGGGATAAAAGTTATTAAACTTCTGGCATGCCCAGGACATTCCCACAACAAAGAGTCATCCAACCCACAGTGTCGGCAGTAAGGAGGTTGGGAACTCTGCTTTACACACTGACCTAATCCAGAGGGACAGGGGACAGACAGGAGCTGCACTCACTAAGGGGAGGACAGTGACAGGGGCGGACCCAGAGCTCATGTTCTCAGGCTACAATTTTCCTAGCCCTCAGCTCCATTTCCAAAACACCAAATCTTTCGCCCAAGTAAAAAATGTTGTGGAAATCGTCAATTTATTTCTAGCATTCAGGTACTACCTAATAATTATAAGCTGTAATTAAACTTACTGAACTTACTACCCCACCCATGATTTGTAGTATAACAAATCTCACACAAGCCCAGCAAGGAACATCATGACAATTACTTTCTTTTTCTTTTTTTTTTGTAAGTAAGAAAACCAAGATTTTTCCAGAATGAAATGATTGGCTAAAGGTCAACAGTTAGCATGCAGCTGAGCAGAAGTTGAGCTCACTTGGGCCTCACGCTTCATGCTTTTAACCATGTCTACCACCTTGAACAGAAAGGCAAGTAGGGTAGCAGCTTTGAGACTTACCACTCACAGACTCTCACTTTAGGGGAAAGTTTCTTACATTTCAATATAATATGAGAATTTTAACAGTCTTTAGAAAACTGGCTGAAGTCATAAGACAGAGTTTCATAGACTCAATACTGTATTTCTGAGAACATATTTTAATCTAGAGTAAGTGGTTCTTCACTAAAGATACACAGCCTAGAGGCAGTGGCTGGGGAACATGAGAGTGTTCTGCGTATTGACTGCTATCATAGGAGGAAGGGCTAGTGTTTGGGGGATGGTGATAAGCCTGTTAACCCTTCAAGCTGTGTGAGAGGGCTCTACACAATAAAGAACTGCCCATCTTACTATAAAGAGCGGCCCTTAGAGGCGCTTTGGTGACGAAGACTGTCTACATGTTGAATGAATGTCCAGAAGGTGTCACCAGCAGTAATGAAACGGACAATCCCTTGTCAATAGAAAGGCGCTCGCACAGCCAAGCTGATAGGGCGGTGTGTGTCTATCACCTAGGTTACTTAGAAACTGAAGCACATGACTGCTGCAGCCTTGGAGTTTGAGGCCAGACTGGGCAACACAGTGAGACTCCATCTTGTCACTCCAAACACTAAAACCTTAAAGGCCTGGTGCACAGCAGGAGACAGTGCCAGGCTGGGCCTCACCTTCAGGTGGTAGATGTGCTCCTCAGTGTCAAGGTCTATGCACTTGGATGACTTCTTCACAGACATCACTGAGAGCCCCACATCGATGCAGCCATGCAGCTTTTCTCTCTCAATCTGCAGAACCATGGAGAGGGCTACTTGAGGCTCATGGTGGTCAAGGTAGTTGTAACAAACATCTCCCTGATCCCTTCCCTTTCTCCTTCCACATCCACCAATAGAAAACTTGGACACCATGACCAATGGAGCCATTCCTGCAAGCAGGACCAGTTAAGGACGGCACACATGTGTTCTGTACTCTGAGAGGCAGAACTACTCTCTCCATTTTACCATTGAGGAGGCTGTGGGGCAAAGGCTAAACAACAGTAGTTTCCATAGCTCAGTTGTGACGAAGGACAGTGAACCCCAGGAGTCAACTCCAAGGAAGTGGAGGGGCCACTGCATCCCACTGGATTAGTGTCTTGGGTCAATTAATTTATAAATGATTTAAAAGAACCAGGCATGGTGGTGCACACCTTTAATCTTGGCACTTTGGAAGCCTAGGCAGGAAGATCTCAGTGAGATTGAGGCCAACCCATATATAGCAAGTTCCAGGCCAGCTGAGGCTACAGGGATTCCCTGTCTCAAGAAACAAACAAACAAACAAACAAACAAATGATTTAACAGGAGGAAGATAGGTAAGATGCTAAGGAGGATAGAAAAGGAGAAAAAAAAAACCATGAGGCAGGCTTACTGGCCTTACTCAGAGCCCTCCAGGCCAGTGTTCTAGGGTTAACACCAAAAACTCCTCCTCAGCCCTGGCCTTCTCCATCAAGCCCCTCAGTCACCATAAGAGTAGGAATACCATTCACCCTACACTGTGTTTCTGAAATTGCACAACCCTGAGACCAGAGCAGACCCACAGTACCCAGTGGGACACCTTGTACCTTCTTCTGGCAGGTGAATCAAGCCCACCTAGGATCCAGAGCAAAGACAGCAGATGTGGGGAGATAAGGGGATTCTGTTCTACCTCGAGAAACCACCCACAGAGCTCTATGGCCTTCAACTATGCGGTTTCCCCCTGAGCAGACCACAAGTACCCCTGCACAAATCTTCAACAGCCTCCTGGATCAGCAAGAAAACTTACATCAGTTTGGCTCTTGGCATATTTCAAGATTCCTTTGTCCAGGTAGAAGAATCTCTGTAGGAAAGAAAACAGAACTGACTAAGCTGTTCTATGCATATAGCCCATTGTGGTCTCAAACTTCAACTTCAAATCGAAGAATATACGACCCAAGAACTCAGTACTGAGTGGGATACAGTGGGTACCCAGTGTTAAGGTTCAGATAGCCCCACCCCCTCACCACCAGGGCCTCACAAGCCCCTGAGAAAAGGGAACTGAGTTGATAAGCACCCTGGTCTTTGAAGTCAAAAGAAGCAGACTTTTCTCCACTGTTTGGCCAACACAGCAGGCTTCCCCTTTGATCTCTGAAGGGGGCAGGTTTTAACAGTCCCGCTCTCCCACTCCCGCACCCCCAACTTTAAAAACATATATCTTCCTGCCTTCTGCAGGAAGCAGAAGCCTCCCCCTTTAAAAGACCCCAGCTCACGACCTGGGCTGACATTTTCCCTGCCTGGAATCTGTTCCATGTGTTCCTTTGCTAATAAACTTTATTCCGATGGAGTTTTATCTGTGTCCTGGTACTTTCTCCTGATCAACTGGATTCATCCATAGGCTACTTTACCTATCAGATGGTGCCAAAACCCAGTTCTTACTTCAAGGGACCTGCCTGGACTTCTCCAATGCCACTAACTTGGCTTTCAGGTACACTCCCACCGCTCCTTTCTCTCTCCTCCTCTCCCCAGCTCTGCTTTGCTTTCACCTCTTTCTGGCTCTCCTCACTGGAGAACACACTCTGCCTTGCCTACATCTTCTTTTGACCTCCTTTTCCATTGATTTCTGTCACTCCCAGAAAGCACTGGTCTCCGGGATGGAGCTGCTTCATCCCTTCGCTACCTTGGTCCCTGCCCCCCCCCGCCACCCCTCCCCTCCTCCTTTGCCATGGGCCTGGAAGGTCTGCTGGCTTCCATCGTTTTTCCTGTCTTTGTCCTCTTGAACTGCCTTTCTTCCTCACTTTACTTGGGATGATTTCTGATACCATTCAATCCAACACATGCAAATGCTCTGGATCCTTCTCTCTCTCTCCCTCCCATACTAAAGCTTTCTACTCCCTGCCAAGTGCCTGCCAGCCAGCCATGTGTCTGACCTCCCATGCAAGCTCTAAACCTGCATGACCCCAAGGCTTTTTTTTCCTTCCTGCTATTCACCCCTTCCAGGCAGCTGCCAAGATTGCCAGCTCCTCTGCCCTGGGGATTTTTTTCTTTAACATTCTAATAAAATGATAAAAGTTTCCAGCTGGGCCCATTCTTAAATTCTCTTATGAATGTGGCCAAGAACCCTTTAGGGAACCCTTTCTCCCCATTTTGGCCCAACTAGCCTAAACTGGCTGGGCAACTTTGCTGGAGCATTTAAAGAATTTCTGGTGGCTCGCCCCATGGACAAACAAAATACATTTTAAAATCCTTTTTTTTCTCCTAAACTTTTTCTCAGCCAATGGGGCTTGAAATTTTGATCTTAGGCCCTCTTGGACACCAAGCAACTGGTGCTCAGATGCCTACTTTTCTAACTAGACCTAACCATTTTAAATTTCATTATACTTAAAAAGTCACAGGCATTGCTCAGGCGAGTCATATGCTTTCAGACCAACAATGCACTGATTTATATGCCCTGTTTCTTCTGCTGCCCTCATGAGTTTCCTTTCCAGCATAGCTTGTGTCTAGGAATTACGAGATCCTGAGAACGTGGCTTCCCATTCACAGCTACATTGGTAGGTGAGAAACATGGATTCCTTTGATTTGCTTTTCTATTTGTGTGCGTGTGTGTGCGTATGAGGGTACTTTGTTCTTTTATATCAAGCCTAATCTACCGGTACCAGGGGTGCCTAGGATTCTCTTGTAATTTATTTTTGTTTTCATTTTTTGATGATGTCATAGAATAAACAATGCATTTCTAGTTCAGACTAAGGGAATAATGCCAGATCTATACAATGGGAGTTTAAATTTTAACATCATTTAGGGCCTGTTTCTAAAGGGGACTACTTTGAGTTTTAACTTCTTCTGTGGTATATTTACTGTTTTTTTAAAGGAATTATTTGGATTTTAACATCTTTTATATGGTATTTGCTAATTTCTAAAAATGACTATTTTAAATTTCTACTGTTTTACATAGCATATTTGCTAGTTTCTAAAGGGAACTTAAGGTTTTTCTAGCCATTTGCCTTCAAGGTGCCAAGGGAGCTGACACTTTGTGATGACTAGACCTATGAAGCAGATGAAAATTTGCTGTACTCCAGGGCCAAAACCTTACAAGGGACAAGCTACTACCAACACATAGTTACAACAATGAGAGGTAAAAAGTAATAGTCTACTTGAATGAGAGGCTTGAGATGCCATCCTACTGGTCTTAACTCCTTCCCTTTCTACATTGTGATTCTAAGCCTGTTTTTCTCTGGAATAGAGTTATTTCCTTCTCTGATGCTCAGATGCTCTATGTTTGCTTATGTTCCTGCCCCATCAGTCCCTGAGTGCTTTCTAGCTATAATGTCAGAGTAATATAAATTATATTGGTAAATGTCACTTGCTGTTTGAGCTCACTGAGATGCTGACTCTGGTTATGGGATTGGCCCTCCCACTTCAGACTCAAGTCTATTATCTCAATATGTGTTCTACAAGACTTTTCTAGGTTCAGGCTGGCCCCCTGACCCTGTGACAAGGAAGAGAACAACAAAACAGCCTAAGAGTAAAGGCAGTATGCAGTTGAGAACCGCTAAGGTGTATATTAATTTCAACAGAGGGTATTACTGTCTATAAAGAAACTAATAGAATTATTTTCAGAACTATTTATATTTTATTTATTCTTAACCTAATCTGTTAATGTTTCCTTTTGTCTTTCCTGTCTCTTACAAGGTTTTATTAACTTCTTTCAGTTATTTGGCCCTTAAAAAAAAGAAGAAAAGGTGCTACCGCCAATCTATATGGAAACTTAGAAACTTAACTCTTTTTTTCAGACCACTAATTACCTATACAAAATGACATATAAGCTGGTTGGATAAAATCCTATTTGTTAAATACCATTTTTCTTTTTACTTTATTCTCAAGGTGTTCTAAGGTGTATTCATTTTGTTTGTCTATTTCAAAGGTGTTTTGGTTTAAAAATGATAAACCACATTCTCAACAAAGACTATACAATTAAATATGTATACACAGTCAACATAAATTTATGCTTCTTAAAATTAATTTACTTGGTATCATATTAATTTTTAACTAAAATCTCATGCATACTAAAAATATTAAATTAACACCAAAATATTTTTTTCAGTCTAAAATATTCTCTCTTTAATCTACAACATGGTTCCTGGTACTAAAATATATAAATTAATTTCAAGTACCTCTCTCTCTCTCTCTCTCTCTCTCTCTCTCTCCAACCACCACCCTTCTGGGGCTCTACTAAACCTTTACTAAACCACCACCCTTCTGGGGCTCATCTTCCCTCAGCCCCTTCTAAACCTCAGGGTCAACTTGTTCCACAAACTTCCCTCCCTTCTGGCTCACTGCGTTTTTTCTGCTTTTCTCCCATCTCATTCCTTGTACTTTGTCTCCATCTACTGCCTGGTCACATCACGCTCTCATTGCAGGGTTTTCTGCTCCTCTCGTTTGCCTCTAAATCACACATGTGTCAGAAAACCCCTTCCTTTCTCTAGATATAGGATGCTATTTCCACAGATTAGGAACATGCACTACTTCCTGTCCAGGACAGCATCTCACCTTTCCTCTCCCTGATGATCTAATTGCAGGACGCTGCCTTCTGGGACTTGGAAATAACTCGAAAATAACTCGAACACGCTCAACAAAAAAGGATGCTTTCTTTTGGTGCCTGGTTCTCCTTGCTCTTGTTTTGCATGACCGATGCCCAATTCCTTCTCCTCCTACTTCCTCCCCGACTCTCTCTTCCTCATCTGCTGCGCTTTCCTGCCCAGACTCATGATCCTGCCTCCACTCCCTATGGAGAGAGGATTTTCTTCATCTTCTGCCTGCTCAATTCTGTCTCTACCTCCTACCTGCTTGCTCAGTTCTTTCTCTATCTCCTCTTCACTCTGTACTTAATCTGTTGCTATGGGAACCACCCACTCAAAGTCTCGGTGTCTCACACCTCTTGTTTGTCTTCTTAAATCCTTAAAACAACTAGGACTTTCAGATACAACCAGGCCAAAACGCCTGAAGTTCCTGTGCACCACTGCCTGGCCTCAGTACAAGTTAGATAATGACTCTGTTTGGCCAGACACCGGAACTTTAAGCTTCAATATTTTGAGAGATTTAGAAAATTTCTGCCATCGTAAAGGCAAATGGTCCAAATTACCATACATCCAAGCTTCCTTTGATCTCCATGCTAATCCCTCCTTCTGTGTCCCATGTTCTTCCCATCAGGTTCTTCTGGCTAAGACAGTTTCATGGGATCCCAACCCACCAGGGGCCTCCACCCCTCCCTCCCACTCCCCCTACCCCTCCACCTCAGCTTTTGATCCTACCATAGCAGAAGAACACCCTCTGATTAGGATCCATCCCTAACCTCCTCCTGTTCCCCAGCCTGAGGCACAGCCAAATCCTCCCCATGCTCTCCCCTTGCTATACTCTCTCTTGCCTTCCATTCCAGGGCCCAACCCAGCTCCCCTCCTTTCTCCAACTCGACCTCCCTCTCTACACTACCATCTTCCCCCTCCCCTCTCCTGCACTGCTCTAAGTTCATCACTGGCTCTCCTTCCACTGACTCTCCTCAACTTGAAGAAATCCAAAACCTTAAACACCTCCTTGCCAAATATTCCCTAGTCACCCCTATTCTGGCATCTAGCTCAAATAACCCATTTATCCCTCCTGTATCTACTTCTACTTCAATTCCAGATCCTGCCTCCGATACCTCTGCCACTACATCCCCTCATGGACAGGACACCCCTCCCATCTCTCCCACTCTGGCCTCTTCCTGGGACTCCCCTTCTCCCAACCCCTCTCCTATGTCAAGCAACACTCACTCCCACACCCAGTCTCAACCCCCTGCCCATGGTATCTTTCCCTTCCAGGAGGTGGCACACATGGACAGGATGGTCACGGTCCATGTCCCTTTCTCTATTGGAGCTCTAGCTCACCTCAAACGCAAAATAGGCTCTTTTCTACTAATCCTACACACTTCATACAAGATTGTAAATACATCACTTGCACCTATGATCTAACCTGGACTGTGTCCTGCCCTATGTGTCTCAAGATAACCCTCACCACTTTGGACAAGCCCAGCCCAGGATTTAACCTCCCTAGACCTTAACCCCTCCACCATCCTACAATATGTAGATAACCTACTTCTTTGCTCTCCATCTCTCTCAGTCTCCAAGGCACACACAATCAAACTCCTTAATTTTCTGGGGTACAAGGATATAGGATATCTTCAGCTAAGACTCACCTTTCTCTCCCTCATGTCAAGTACTTGGGGTTCCTTCTCACACCTACATTCCGCTGTTTAACTATAGATAGGACAAATTACCTGAGGTCTTTAAAGCCCCCTCACAACCAAGGAGAAAATTTTATCTTTCCTAGACATTGCAGGGTACCTGCGCACCTGGATTCCTAACTTTGCCCTCTTTACAAAGCCGCTCCACGAAGCTTCCAAAGGGAACTCCCATGAGTCTGTTGACCATACAACAGCATTCCACACTATCCAGGAAGTCCTTTTTAAGGCACTGGTTCTACCGCTCCCCAACCTCAAATGTCCATTCCTCTTCTATACAATGAAAATAAGGACAAGGCATTAGGGGTTTGGGGACAGATAAGGGGTCCCACTTTTGCCCTAGTATGGTATCTCTAAACAGCTTAATACCACTGTCCAGGACTGGCAACCTTGCCTCCATGCTCTGGCCATTACCGCTCTCCTGGCTCAAGAGGAACTTAAGCTCACTTTGGGTGAGCCCATCTCTGTCCTTTCCCCCACCAGCTTAAGGATTTAACTGACCCACACGTCTCTTGCCAATCTAGCTTCCTCTAAACTACAACTCTTCCATGTCACATTTCTTTAAAAAACCCCTTGCTCACCCTTGATTCCTGCCCTCCTCACAATCCAGCTTCCCGCCTCCCTTGCAGTGAACCACTCACTCACTTACTCATGCTTGGAAACTCTTCAAGAACTCTCCTACCAGGATCCCCTAATTTCCCAAATCCCCTACCAAACCCTAACTTGGTTTATGGATAGAAGTTTAACTCTCACCCCAACGGTGTCCCATAGGCCATAGTATCTCTCACAGATGTCACTGAGTCAGGACCACTACCACTTGGAACCATGTCACAAAATGCCAAACTTGTGACACTTACCAGGGCCCTAATTTTAGCCAAGGATGACCTCTTCCTCCAACATCCCTCCCCTCTACACGACTATTTACCTGCCTTCACGCTTTTAAGGAAACTACTCAGAGAACATGCTGACTAGACTATTCCTCAGGCTTCTAAAGGCCAAATTGACCACCCACTTCAACATGGAGATCACACTAACCTGCGGGTTTACACCCAACAGAAAGGAGTGAAGGAAACCCTCCAGCCACATTGGTCCTCACCTGGTGAGCCTGTCTACCCTGACTGCAGCCAAGCTCTTGGGACAACCTGGTTGGATTCACCTCTCCAAATTAAAACTGGCCAAGGAACACAGCAAGTGCCAGGCCACCAGCATCGGGGCTCTTAAATTAAAAATCTTGAACCCCACCTCAGCCATTCCCCACTACACCTACCCACCGTGTTTCTATAAATTTAAAATGAGACAAACATAATATATAGATAATCTTAAAATTTCTAAGTTCATAGCTTAGTCAACTAGTCTAAGGATGTCTAGTCAAAGTTTATTTAAGGATGTTGCTCAAGCTCTATCTACATAGAACATGGTAATTAAAAGTACCAGACTAGTGTAACTAACCTTGTTGGATGTTTAATAGCCAAACTTTAAGGCCTATATTAATCTGGTTAGAGGGACTTAAAGGGACAAATTTTTGTTCCTTGCCCTCCAAGGTCAAACAAGTTCCAGGGGCTATGGAGCATCTCTCGAAATGTCCTGTAACTTTGGTGAGTCACCTGTCCTCTTGTTCAGGGAGGCCATGGAGACCCCAGAAGATGGACTTGAACCAGTGTTCAGTCTGCAAAGAGAAGGGTCAACACAGAGGAAACATTTTTTTCCATGCTTCCAAGTGAAGCCCTGGTCAAGCAGGACCTCTTGACTTATCTTCACGTAGATGGAACTGGTAAAAGAAAAGCCTGAGGAGCCAGGGGGTACCCCCAAGCCCATGTGACCCCTAAGGTCCAAACCCTCATACAACCTTAAGAGTTTATTTGGGCCAACAGTATGGTCTTAAACACCCAAAGGGAAAGTAAAACCAAAAATTAAAGTCATCAGTATATTTTAAGGGTTAAGGGATTACACAACCCAGACATTAAATATAAGTTCTTATGTTATTTAGACAATTATCTCCTAATAAGACAACGTTACTCAGATGTGAGACTTCAAATCCTGGTCTGCTATGCTGTAGTGCCCACCTACAGCTAAGGGAGGCAACCCACTATTGTTCTAGCCTAAAGAATGAAATGATGGCTAAATTTGTTTTCTCTCCCTATCTAGAAGCCTTTGAGAGGTAAGTGACACTGATTCTAGCCATTCCAATAGCTATCAAAATGCCTGAAAACAAATCTTGAGTCCATCACTCTCCAGTTCATCTCTGGCAAAAGAAAAAAGAAAAAAGGAGCTATGACCTTGGTGTTAACCATTGCTCCTTGCCTCTTCAGATATTTTCAGGACCAAAATCCAAAAACTAGCTCTTACTAATTTTAATCAGTTGTTACTTTCCTTCCCTCCACATGTATATGAGTGCCTATCAACCATTGAGGACCCTGTTAAGGTGCATGAAGAGGAAACCCCCGCTGTCTGACTGACCCCTAATCCAGCCCCCCACGTCGACCCTCTCCAGCAGGAAGCAGCAAGATGACAACGGTGCCCCCATCCTGTAACACAAAAGGCTGGAATGTTAAGGTTCAGATAGCCCTTCCCCCTCACCAACAGGGCCCCACACACTTCACAAGCTCCTGAGAAAAGGGGACCGAGATAAGCACCCTGGTCTTTGAAGTCAAGAGAAGCAGACTTTTCTCCACTGTTTGGCCAACACTGCAGGCTTCCCCTTTGATCTCTAGAGGGGGTAGGTTTTAACAGTCCCACTCTCCCACTTCCCCCACCCAACCTTAAAAAAAAATATCTTCCCGCCTTTTGCAGGAAGCAGAAGCCTCCCCCTTTAAAAGACCCCAGCTCAAGACCCAGGCAGACATTTTCACTGCCTGGAAGGGAATCTGTTCCATGTGTTCCTTTGCCAATAAACTCTATTCCAAGGGAGTTTTATCTGTGTTCTGGTGCTTTCTCCTGATCAACCGGATTCATCCATGGCCTACTTTACCTATCACCCAGAAAGGGGAGGCCAAACCAGTATCTTACCTTGTGCCAGCCTTTTAAGGGCCATTTCCTCTTTTTCAGCAAAAATCCTTTCTGCACAGGTGGCTCCTGAGTATAAGTCATCTCTCCCCTCAGTCCTTCTACCACTTCCCAGCTGTCCTGTTCCAATGCAAGAGTACAGGCTAAGTGTCTCCCTTTTAAAAGAATATAGCATTAAGAAGCATGAAACTGGAAAACCCATTCAAGATGGAGAGCTTGGCTGGTTTAATGGGAAGACATTCAAGTTTAATTTCTATACACTCCCTGGACAGATTTAAGACTATATTTTAGTGGCATCAAATTAGATTTTTTAAAGCTCTTTTTAAAGTCTCTCTCTCTCTCTCTCTCTCTCTCTCTCTCTCTCTCTCTCTCTCTGTCTTTGAACCTTGATAGGTACAGCTAACTAGAAGTTCTATTTCTGTTCACTTCGACATCATTGTGCACTTACTGTTCAGTCACTAGACTTCAGTCTAAAAATAATGACTTAGTGATTATCTTCAAATTCTAGGTATTTAAGTAGTAGACGTAATTGAAACATCATAAAGATAGTTTGGTCACAATTATTTTCACTTTTTACTCCCCAAGAAATATATCCCCCCCTTTCTTTTATTCCAGAAACTTTCCTTTTAGGTCCTGCTGTAATTCCAGTATTCAAGAGGCTAAGGCGGGAGGATCATTTGTTCCAGTCCAGCCTGGGCTACATAGCAAGACCTTGTCTCAAAAATACAAAATCAACCCAGCACCCACATGGTGGCTAAAAACTATCCATAACTCCAGTTCCAGGGGAATCCAAGGCCTTCTTCTGACCTCCGCGGGCATTGCACAACACGGGTGCACTTACACACAGGCAGGCAATACGCTCATACACATAAAATAAAAATAATAAATAAAATATTAAAAAAAACAAAATCAAAACAACAAAAGTCTTTGTCTTTGGGGGCAATTATCACCCCATTGAGCAGTTTGTAGTTTTGAAGAGGTACAAATAGTTGCCATGATTTATCCCCCAACACTGGCTATTTACGTTATTTTAACTAATTGAAAACAAATTTCAAAGTAAATAAAAACACTAAAAATTCTGAAAAAAAATATACAAATCATTGCTAAAACAGCACAAGATAAACCAAAATTGTTAACACTTTAGTGAGTAGGTCAGTGGTTTTTACTATTGTTGATTGGACTATAACATTGGACTATAACATATAAGAAATGTAGAAATGTTGAATACAACTTGACAAATCTGAAACACACACACAGTAACTCTCACCCAGGTTAGAAATGATATGCAACATTTCCCATGTGGGGCAATAGAGTTTTGCAAACATATGATTCTGGCCAAGACTTCATGTGGACCTCAGCTTTGAGTCAAACCTCCAGCCCATGGGCAGATGGTACAGGCAGAGGCCAGAGGCCTGAGATGCCTGGAGCCAGACAGTAAGTCTGGGCTAGTTCCAGGGAGCAGGGCATGTGGAGGTCCCTGGATGCAGATGGTCCATTAAGGAGGGCACAGAAACCAGAAGTCTTTGGGGCTTGTTTCTTAAAGCTCAGTACATCATCTCTGGTAATAGGAACCCTTTCCTGTATTAATAAGGGAACTCTGTATAATCTGCCCTTTATCTGAGCCCCTTCTACTGTGAAGGAGTTAAAGGTACATCCTAGACTTTTTAAATAACTACTGTGATTACCTCATAATTTGAATTTGTAAAAGGGAGCTCTTCAATGGAAAAAAAAAAAGGAAAAAGATTTGGTGTTTAACTTGGAGAAATTATTTGGAAAGGTAGCAACATTGAATGAGATTATTACACGTTGTTCAGTTACTCCGTTCCACCCAGGTGGTTGGAGAACGCCTATTTAATGATGGACAGCACACTTTCCCTCACCTCCCTTTACCTGCTTATGTATTCTGAATGTTAAGGTCCTGTTGGTGTCCCTCCTCCAGAGGAAAGTATTTTTCACCCCACAAACCCATCACAGCAGTGATGTTTCATTTGCCAATGGTGCCCCCCTTATTATGGTAGCATGCATGAGGTTTTATTATCCCTACTGGGCAGGAGCCCTTGAGAACACAAGGGGTCTGGCCCACTCCTTGTTCTTCACAATCTGTAGCCTGCTGTCCCATTAACAGTGGGTATCTGATGGCAAATGAATAACTACAGTCTTGGAATAAAGCTATAAGCAGATTCATGTTCTTGGAATACCCAATGTGGGATGCATTTGAACTGGGCCCAGTGTCTTTGGGCCAAAAGACTGTTTTCAAATTAGATACAGCAGACATGGTGCTGTCATTACATGAAAATCTAAGACCCAATCCCCTGGAAAGCACTCAAGTGGATAGCCCTTTGGATTTGTTTGTCTTCAAGCTCCCAAGCAGAAGGCAACCTGCAGAGTGCTAATGCTAAACAGCCAGGCACATCTGGGCAAAACCTTCATCGCACTCACTGCAAATGCCAAGAGGGATCAGCTGTTATTGCATACCTTATGAAATTGGAAAAAGTGGATGTCCTACCTGTAGCTTAATGGAAAGAACTGAATTTCAAAACTGGCTTCACTGATTCCTGCTGGAAGGAGAGTGGTTGATTCCTCCCAACAAGTCAACCCAGAGGGCAGTGAACTAGATAGGTTTGCTGGTCCTTCGTGTCAATAAACCAGAAGAGTTTGTATTTTTTTTTTTTTTTCCTGCAAAATTTCGTTTTTTTCCTTTCATTTTATTTTCTACCTGGGCTCAGAACTTGAAAGAATTGGCAGGTTGGAAAGGCCAGACTTGTGTTATTTAAGAAAGGGTGAGTTTTCCTCGGTCAGGAGAGAAGGCTCTACAGCCTTTTCTGGCTTCCACTTCCGAATCCTCCCGTCCCCATTTCTCCATGTGCCAGCACTGAGTCAGTGACTGACACTTAAGAAGCTGCACCCAGCCTGGTGGTTTTCAGTGGCCTGAGGCTGCTCCCTCTGAGACTGGGGATTACGGGGGTACTGGTGGCTGTAACAGTGATGTGTAGAAGCACCCAGCATCTAATGGCTTCCAGCCAGGGGACGATGACAAATGTATTAAATCCTTAGTCTTGCACAACAACAAGGTTGTTCCACATTTGGTAAGATTTTGCAGTGCTTTCAGATATGTTGATAGGTGAGAACCTGCTTACAATCACTTGACCATAAAGGGATGGGAGTGTAGCTCAGCGGTAGAACACCAGCTGTGCATTTCCAGATATCATAGCATTTAGTTAACATCATGATGCTTTTTTCATTTGTACCCCAGTCCTTTGGTGTTTTCTTCCCAAGCTACTATAGCAGATCATCTTCTCCAGCGTGCTTATAACTCCAGGGAATAGTCTATCTGTGGTGGCAACTAAGAGGATTCTCCAGGCTTAGTACTTGTTGGAGTCTCCAATCAAGAAAATAGATTATCAAATCAAGTAAATGGCACTAGATAGTGAGATTATCCTTCAAAATTTTCCTTTACTAGGATTCTGGTGTTTTTTATTTGTTTTTTTTTTTTTTTGAGTATAGAAAATGAGGAAGAGAGTTAGATAAATTCCCTGATAAGGTACAGCTGCCAAGTGGTACAGCCACCCCACTCTACAGCCTAGTCTTTAATTATTCTGGCACTTATTGCAGCATGCAGCACTTCTCCTGTACTTTAGATGTGTAAATTCCAATGATGCACAAGGAGTAATTCCTATGTGGTGGGGGATACTGGAGGGTAAATCTTGGAATTGGTCAAAACCTTGCAACAACCGGAAGGAATGAAGAAGCAGTGTTGTGTGAAGGGATGTTAGCAAGGAAGTTAGTTGCTCAGAGCTCCAAGGTCTCTGATCTGCCTGTGCACTTCAGTGCTGTGGAGCCCTTCTTATTCACTTGGTTACGGCTGGTACACCTGCCCTATCTCCTTCTCTGTCTGGTGAGTTTTCATTTAGCCTCAAGCCTCTTCCTCCCTGCAGGAAGTCTCTCCTTCCTCTAAAGATAGGCAGCAGTGACACAAACCTCAATTACACTGCCTGCCTGCCTAGCCAGAACGTAGGTCCTACTATAACCTTGTTCATTACACTCTGTGCCCTACTCATTATTAATACCCAGAAAATAGAGGTCCTCAATAAATATCAACTGAAAAGGTCTGAGAATAGAAGATAAGGAAAGGCCCCAGAAAGACCACTGGATTAGAGTGAATTGGTTTTCAGGGCAGAAAAATATTAGATATGTGGGCCAAGGTGATGGCTCAGTGAGTAAAGGCACTTGCCACTAAGCCTGATTATCTGGGTTTCATCTCCAGGATCCATACGGTACAAGAACAGAACAGATTTCAGGAAGTTGTCCTCTGACCTCCACCCACACAAAAATAAATCAATGTAATAAAAAATAATCCAGAGATGTCAGTTTCTCTGGGCTAAAGGAACTGTGTCTAGAGAACTGGCACCTGCTGTCCTTCACATACCCTAGTGAACTGCAGGTGGGGCATGCACCTTGATTTGAATACCCAAGACACAGTACAGGATAGATTTGGGCCACCACAGAGATCAAGACCCTGTGGACAGAACCCAACAGGCCTGGGCTAACTTCCCACTCTGCAGGAGTCAAGTTGGAAGGTCATCATGAATATGAGATGGAGAATAACATGGAGGCCTGGAGGAAGGCACTTTTCAGGACTTCTGCTAAAACTCAAGCAAAGACTGTCTGGCAGAGTCATCTGACATTAAATTCAGTCTATTTTACTGAACGTCTAAAAAGTGCCAAAGATAGAAAGCCATTTTGTGGTTAGAAAGGCAGTCAAGCATCTATTCATGCTCGTGAGCAGGCCAAGTTCATTTGCATAGTGCTGAGTACACGAATTGCCAGTGCTTCCTTCCAGCACAGCTGTGTGCACAGCGCACATGCACCTCGCACATGCTCAGCTGCTGCTCCTGCAGTGATGTCAGAAATAGAAGCTTCCATTCTTCCTGTATCTGCAAAGTGTGGAGAGGGAGGCTTTATGGCTGCCTTGAACTGACAGGACTGGAGAGTAAGTCGTTCTAATTAGTCTGTTATCAGGTTTATCCAGTTTTTAAAAATCAGAGGTATTTTAAATAATACCTAGCACTGAATCATAATGGAGTCAAATTAAATCCATCTTAGCGATTTTAAACGCATTT